ACATAAAAAAAGAATGAAATTCTGATACATGCTACAACATGAGTGAACCTTGAAATCATGGTAAATGAAATAAGCCAGACACAGAAGGCCAAATATTATATAATTGCACTTATATGAGGTATCTGGAATAGCCAAATTCATAGAGATAGAGGGTAGAGTAGTGGTTGGCAGGGGCTCACAGTGGTGGAATGGGGAGTTCTTGTTTAATGGGTACAGAGGTCCAGTGTGAGATAATGAAAAAGTTCTAGACATAGATAGTAGTGTTGATTGTACAACAGTGTGAATGCACTTAATACCAATAAAGTAGTCACTTAAAAATGGCTAAAATGGGGGCGCCTGGGTGTCTCAGTGGGTTAAGCCTCTGCCTTCAGCTCAGGTCATGATCTCAGGGTCATGGGATCGAGCCCCACATCGAGTTCTCTGTTCAGTGGGGAGCTTCCCCCATCTCTCTGCCTGCCTGTCTGCCTACTGGTGATCTCTCTCTATCAAATAAATAAATAAAATCTTTAAAAAAAATCTTTAAAAAATGGCTAAAATAGTAAATTTTTTGGTTTTGTATTTTACCGTTAAAAAGGCAAAACTATAAAACTCGTAGAATATAACATAGCAGAAAATCTAAGTGATGTAGGTTTGCATGATCTTTTATTTTTATTTTTTTATTAGAATTATTTATTTAATTCCAGTATAATTAATGTACAGGGTTATACTAGTTTCAGGTGTACACTATAATGATTCAACAATTCTGTACATTACTCACTGCTCATCACATTAAATGTACTCTTTAATCTTTAATCCCCATCACCTATTTCCCCCACCCTTCCAACCACTTCCCCTTTGGTAACCATCAGTTTGTTCTTTATAGTTAGAAGCCTGTTTTTTTGTTTGTCTCTTTTTCCTTCATTTGTTTTGTTATTTAAATTCTGCATGTGAGTGAATCATCAGTGAACTTTTAGATATAATGCTAAATCATGATTCATGAAAATAAAAATTGGTACATTGGACTTTATTAAAACGTGAGCCTTCTTCTCTGTGAAAGACACTCATTGGAAAATGAAACAACAAGCTACAGACGTATAAACATGTTTCTGATAAATGACTGATATCCAAAGTATACAAGAACCGTTAAAATTCAACAATGAGAAAACAAAGAGACTGATTAAGAAATTAACAAAAGATATGAACATACAGAACATCATATCAAATAAGATATACTGATGGCTAATAAGATGGATATGAAAAGATGCTCAGCATCATATATCAGTAGGGAATTGCAAGTTAAAACAATGAGATACTGTTGCACACCTATTAGAATGGCCAAAATCCAGAACACTGACAATATCAAATGCTGGTGAGGATATGTAGTTAGTAGGACTCCTCATTCATTGCTGGTGGGAATGCAAAATGGGATAGCCACTTTGAGGAACAGTTTATCAGTTTTTTTCAAAGGTACGTATTCTTAGCATATGATCTGGTAATTGTGTTCCTTGGTATTTGCCCAAGGGAGTCGAAAACATGTCCACACAAAAACCTACACACAAATATTTATAGCATCTTTATTCATAATTGCCAAATCTTGGATGCAACCAAGATGTCCTTAAATGGGTGAATGGATAAACTGTGCTACATCTATACAACAGAATATTATTAAGTGGTCTCAAGAAGTGGGCCGTTGAGCCTTGAAAAGACATGGAGGAATCTTAAAAGTGTATTACTTAGTAAAAGAAGATGATCTGAAAAAGCTGTGTGATAACTGTATGAGTTTCTAGAAAGGCAGAACTGTGGAGAAAGTAGAAAGTATTAAGGAGAAAGTAGAAAGCTTATTGGTTGGTTGCCAGGGACATGAGGGGAATAGATGTAGCACAAGGGATTTTTAAGGCAAGGAAACTGTTGTGTACGACGCTGTTAGGATGGGCACATGTTATATAGATTTGTCAAAACCCTAGAATATACAACCCTAGAACCACAAAGTAGACTGTGGGCTTTGCTTGACAATGATATGCCAGTGATGGCTCATCAATCATAATAAATGTCCCATGTATAACAAATGTACAAATGGTGAGTGAGGTTCATAGAGGAAAGGGAATCTGTGAGAACTTTCTGTACTTTCCACTCAAATTTGCTGTGAACCTAACACTGATGTAAAAAGTTAATTTTAAAAAACATAGAATGTACAACACAAAGAATGAAACCTAACTGCAGACTTTCATAATAATAAATAATAATTATAATAATATGTATTTATTGGTTCATCAGGGGATGCAGCTGAACCACACTAATGCAAGATGTTAATGATAGGAGAAACTTTTTGTGAGCAAGGGGGTTAATGAGAACTCTGTACTTTTTGTTGTATTTTTCTGTAAACTGAAAACTGCTTTGTATTCTCTCTGGTATACCACATATACTAAAATTAGAATGAAAACTGCTTTAAAAATTAATGTTGAGGGGCACCTGGGTGGCTCAGTGGGTTAAAGCCTCTGCCTTCGGCTCAGGTCATGATCTCAGGGTCCTGGGATTGAGCCCCGCATCAGGCTCTCTGCTCAGCAGGGAGCCTACTTCCTCCTCTCTCTGCCTGCCTCTCTGCCTACTTGTGATCTCTGTCAAATAAATAAATAAAATCTTTACCAAAAAAATTAATGTTGATTAATTAAAAATATAAGTAAATGTTTTCAGTCAAAACAAAAGAAACAAAGACACTTTTTTGAAGACAAAAAATAAATGTGCCCATGCAGATAGCTGCTAAGTGCTGGAATGTAGTTCTTACCTGTGTCTACTGGATTCCAAAGACTTCTTTTTCCTGTGATATCCCTTGGATTCAACTTCAGTTGGAGTTAATCTTTTTTAGAATTTAATTAGCCAATGTATAGTACATCATTATGGAGTTAATCTTGATAGTGAAGGCTAATAAAGATTAATGTCTTTGAAACAGTCATTGTAGGTATAAGAGCAGCAAACATGAGTGAAGGTATAGTTTATTTCAGTCTTCTTTCTAGACCCTTCTCCCTTGCTTACTTCAACTCTCTAGGCTAGAAGTGAATCTAGAAATGATTTCCCAAGTCTCTTGCTGGTAGCAGGGTCCATGTGTCACAGTTCTGGCCAGGACAACATAAGCACACATGGAGAAATTTCAAGTAAAGCTTTTGCTTTTCTGATCCAGACATTAAGCCTTCTTCTGTTCCTTTCTTTTCCTTCCTAAAGTACACACTGAGATCCAGAGATGCAGCAGCTGTCTTGGGACCATGAGGTGGGAAGCTTAAAGAAAGCTGTATACTAAGCATAGCTGACTGGAAATGTGTGAGGAGCCTGCTGGTATCATTCAGGGTTGGATATTTAGTCCATAGGTTTCTTTAAAGCCACCATTGTAGGGTTTTGTTATTTACAGAGAACACGATCCTAATTGATACACATATACAAAGTGTAAATTTTTTTATATGAGAAATAAATTAAGCATACAGTTTCTCATGAGAATTTTAGGATGACTTTGGTAACACAGAATTAGGTATCTTAAAGATGTTAACTGATATTTGAGAGTGTATAATAGGTGGTTAGCCATAGATTGTCTTTGTACCACTTAAAACGTGGTCGTATCATCAGAGGTAGCGAATGTAGATTCTGGGACCATGAACCCTGCCTCGTGGGCTTTTTTGAAGGTGCATATGAGGGATATGGGTCAGGGTAGGATCTGGGGAAATGCCTTATGTGTCTGGAAATGCCTCTTCTTTCTGCTAGGGCTATAAATTTCCTAGGTACAGCTCTTATTCTCCTTTGCTGGACTTTGCATTTCAGATAGCATTCTTCTTGGCTTTGTCCAAGGTGGCTTATGGCCTGTGAGGTTCTGCAGCAATGTATGAAGTTTTTTACAAGGTGGCCTTGGTTAGGACTTAATAAACCTGAGATAATAATAAACATTATAATTATAGAATATATATTATATAATTATATAATTACATAATTATTGTTATATATAATTCTATATATAACATATAACCATTATTATATATTATTTATAATAAACCATTATGGAGATGTGAAATTGGAAAATTTTGAAAATCCTATTTATAGATATTTGATAGAGATTAACTTGCTATTTACGTTTTCTGTAAGTGCTGCCTAGAAATGTATGTGTATGTAAGTCAAAGGAACTGGCTAAATACTAAGATACTTGTTAATTTACTGTTCTCACAAGTTTTCGTATCATCTCGTAATTATTTTATTATAGAAATGGTTTGTAAATTCTCAAATAGTAAACAAAGTTTGTTTCCTTGCTACATCAGTTCTTCTGTAATATATGGCAATTGTTTATTCTCTTCTAAATATCTATTCATTTTTCTCCTTAAAAAAACATAATTTGCTGTTAGTGTCTTAGTTGGTAGGATTAGGAGAAGAGCCCTAGTTTGAAAAATACTTGAGTTTATATGGCCCCAACTCAATTAAATGGATTTAGTGTCCAATCTGGTTATTTGCAATTAATACTCCAATAAGGCACAAAATCTTTTAAAATCTATTAGAAAAGTCCAAGTTTTGTGACTTTTGATATATCCAGTATGAATTAATTTCAATAAAAACATTTTGATCCATTTTGTGTACCTGGTGTTAGGCATTATGTAAGTTATTTATTTTTATCTCTTGATATTAATGTGTTTAATATTAAGTAGTGAAAGAACATTTGGGCATTCGGTCTGGATGAAAAAGAGCAGGTGACAGGTTATAATTTATCAAATACAAATTTTAAAGATAGACTTATCCTTTCTCACTAGTGCAAAGCAAAATGTTTTACTAAGCTATCAAATTTTTTTGAGTTATTGTGTGTAGTCACAATGATAAAGACTGTCACTTTAAGTTAACAACATTAAAAATGTAATAGCAATTATACCATTAATAAGGCAAAACTATTTTTTGGAATAAAAAGTATTATTAGCAGAAACTATAATAAGGTGAGGAATATTTTGTTACACACCAAATGAAAAGCCCAAACATTACGTGATGATTTCTCATATTTTAATAATCAGTGGGGTGACAGAGGCATCACTGAATGTGTCATCAAGAATCATGTAAATACTAGATGAAATACACAATACTTTCATCTCAGCATAGTGCAGCAAGCTCTTTTCTGGTACAACCTAAATTACAACACTTATCACTTAAGTGTACATAGGACTGTCTCTTTTTTCGGGAATGTTTATCTAAGCCTGAGTTTTCTAATTCCGAAAGACGTTTGTCTTCAGCTTCATTTTGTCCACTAAGAACAGCTTTCTTCAATTCTTCCAAATTAAGATTTGAACTTTCCATATCAAGTCGTAGCTCTCTTATTGATGGCTGCCTGTCAGACAGTGCTGCCTTCAGCTCCTGTGACAAGTTAGGAATGTGTTCCACCGTTGTATTTAAGGTTTTCGTATGGATGATGGAGGATGGCAGGACTTCTAAAAGGGGAATGGGAAGAGAGAAAAATACTCTGATCAAGGAACATCGGGAAAACAATAAAATTTTGCATAGACATAAAAAAAATCATTGCCTTAATAGAATTAAACATCAGGACAGAATCAACAAATATCCTGATTAAACCGCTTAGAGTATTATAGTTGGGTGGCTTTAATTACTGTAGCATCACCAAGATTCTGCTTTATTCCACAGACCTTCTGTCATATTTATGTCCCCTTAATGCTTTCATTATGGCAGTTTTGACTCTTCCTGATTTCTGAAGACATCTTGGTCATTGAAAACACTCAGTTTGACCACAGATGAATTTTTCTTACTGGATAATTTTCTTCTGTTACTAATTTGAGTTCTTATAGTAATCCTATCTAATATTCCATGGTGGCAAATTACTGCTTCAGGGTAAAGTTTAAAAGGCAGAATCTTCAACTGCTCTGATCTAAATGTCGGGAGATAACCAGTCTTTGACATCCCTCACACATCTATTTAACAGTTCATTTTTCCCAGAGTATTTACTTCAAATAAAACAATAAGCTAATATTTTATCTTTCCTCCTAATGCTCTTTCTCATTCAAGTTCTAAACTGACAGATGAGAATTTATACCATTTTTAGTTGTCAGAAGTTTTTGCATTTTCTTTCAGTAAGATATCCTAAGTTTAATTCAGCCTCTTCAAAAAATTCCCTCTGCTCTAATTTAAATTTCCTATAGTTGGGGCCTTATTGAATGCACAGAAAAGCTAATAGTAACTTTCCATGTACTTAAAGCCAGTTAATTAATTAGGCAAAACATTTGTAGCTTCTTTTGTGTTTATTCAGAGGCTGTGTTTTTTGGCATTCTTTTTCATCTGTAGATGGACATATAAGGTGTTTTGACATCTTGGCTATTGTGAATAGTGTTGCAATGAATGTGGGAGTGGCAATATCTCAAGATCGTGATTTCGTTTATTTCAGATGCAGAAGTGGGATTGCTTGATCATATGGTAATTCTATTTTCTTTTTTTTTTTTGAGCAATCGCCATAGTGTTTCCTACAGTGCTGCACCATTTTGCTTTGCCTCCCCACCAACAGTATAGAAGGGTTCTAATTTTTCCACATCCTGAACAACACTTGGCTTTTTTTTAAGGCATGGAGAAGCAGGGAGAGAATCTCAAGCAGACTCCATGCCTAGCATGGAGGCTGATCTCACAACCCTGAGATCATGACCTGAGCCAAAGTCAAAAGTGGGTTACTTAACTGCCTTGAGCCACCCGGGTACCCGTGTCTCTCTTTTTTTTTTTTTTTAAATAATAACTATCCTGACAGCTATGAATTGATACCATTGTGGTGTGTTTTTTTTCCCCCAAAGATTTTATTTATTTATTCGACAGAGAGAGAGAGAGATCACAAGTAGGCAGAGAGGCAGGCAGAGAGAAAGGCGGGGCGGGGGGGGTGGGAACAGGCTCTCCGCTGAGCAGAGATCCCCATGCAGGGCTCAATCCTAGGACCCTGAGATCATGACCCCAGCCGAAGACAGAGGCTTAACCACTGAGCCACCCAGGCGCCCCTACCATTGTGGTTTTGATTTCCATTTCCCTGATGATTAATGGCATAGAGCTTCTTTTCTTATACCTGTTGGCCATTGCAGGTCTTCTATGCAAAAATGTCTATTCAAGTCTTCAGCCCATTTTTTAACTGGGTTACTACCTTTTTTGCTATTGAGTTGTAGGAGTTCCTTATATATGTTGGAAATTAAACCCTTAGCAGATATAGGATATGCAAATGTTTTCTCCTATCCCAGAGCCTGCCTTTTCATTCTGATTATTTCCTCTGCTCTGCAGAAGTTTTTAGTTTGATGTAGTTCCACTTTTCTACTTTTGCTTTTGTTGCTTGTGTTGCACTTTTATTAAAAGTATTTTTTTAACTTAGCTTGAAACATTTTGCAATCAACAGCAGCTTTACCTTCTCAAGTCTAAATAAAAGATAATATCCCAATCGACTTGAAATCACACAAACATCTCTTAACCACTGTATTTTGGACTAAAATTTCACTACCAGAGACCTCCTTTAGTTAAAAATATCTGTCTCTTATTTTTTAAAAGGGGTTCAAATAAGTGTTATTTATGCACACATTGTAGGAGAAAATGGCTAGTTAACAATTTAATAATATGAAAACAAAACTAACAATAGAGGTTTTAAACTCATGAATTCCAAATTATTGACATATACTTCCAAAAAATCCTTAACTAGTAGTTTAAACATTTTTCTTGATCTTCACTTGCAGGCAATATCATGTTAGGTTATTTCCAATTAAATTATGTAGTGGGTAGCAATTAAGAGAGTTCTTTGAAAATACTTTGAAATCACAACATTCCTACAGAAATAGAAATCTGGCTAAATAGCTATATATAAATGTGCTCAGAAAATCATTTTTAAGCAACAATTTGGAAACAACCTAAATGTCCACTAAGAATGGTTAAAATCTGTTATGTCCACTAAAAATGGTTAAATATATATATGGTAGATTTATGATATAGAATACTATGAAGAAGTTTTAAATTCTATTTTTGGAGACTAACAATGTGAGAAACTGCTCACAATACGTTAAGTGAAAGTCATGAGATATACATACGTATCTCCAAAAAAAATTTTTTAAGGTTTTATTTATAAAGTAATCTCTGCAACCAAGTGGGGCTCAAACATACAACCCTGAGATCAAGAGTCACATGCTCTACCCACTGAGCAATCCAGGTGCCCCTACATTATCTCATTAACATTGCTTTCCAATTCCTCATTAAAACAGATTTTTTAAATTTTCTCACTAAATTCACATATTTTTTCAAAGCCTGTAATATCCATTTTTCTTATATTTATATATCTGTTTTAGTCTTTAATATGAGCATATTTTATTTATTCAGAAAAAGTGAATTAACAAAGGCAACACAATGCAATCTGGTTGTCCCAACTTTGAATCAGTAAATCCCTGAACTTTGTAGTACTCTTCTTATAATAATATATAAGAATTCTGTTAAGAACTTGCATTAAATAAATCAGTCTCTGACCAACAGTATAGAAAAGCAAAGTGAATAGTTTTATAATGTTTTAAATCCCATAAAAGAGAAGCAAATTATGGTTAGTGTGCACAATAATTTTATCTGAGAGTCACTTGTATACAGGATAGGCTATAAAATATAGTTGTGATTTATCATAAACTGAATATACGTTGTGAAATATAGAATACTAAGTTATTCATAATTGAGCTTGCATTTTCTGAATTTAATATGACCCATTACACTGCTTAGAATAGTTTGTGAAAGTTTGCATTGCTACTTAAACTTAACTTCCAGTTTATCTTTATAAATAGTTGATTACTAATGAAGTTGTTTTTGTTTTGTTTTTTAAACCATTTCAGATTTTAGCTGTCCTCAATTCTGGAGGCTTGCTTTTAAAGAAAATCTACTGCAGCTTCCAAATGCTTGAAGAAGCATCAATCAGGTTTTCAGCTGAAAACTTCCCTTGGGCAAACTTTCCTTGACTCTAAATCCTCTTCAGTTTCTCCTGTAGATTAGGCCCTTTTCTTTCTTCAATCCCTTACTGCACAAATGAACTTAAAGGTCCAGGGCAAAGAGGGTGGGAGGCTAGGCTCTCCCCTTTGGTGACCTTTACAAATAAAATTAAAAGGAAATTTTCGATGGTGTGGGCCACAGCGCAACCTTTTTGCAAAGGAGTAGAGTCATTAGTGAGCCCCTTCCTGTTTACCACTGCAGGAGCCTCTCAGTGGTCTCGAAGTTCTGCCCCATGCCCTCTGGCACTCAAACCAGTGCACACTTGACTGCCTCCAATCCTCAAGTTGAGATGTTCTGTCCAGTTGCTCCAGGCCCCCAGCATGCCCTCTCCCAGGCCCATGGACTTGACTCGGGTCCAACCTGAATGGATCCCACCTCGAACCCTTCTTTGGGCAACCAATATCCTCTGTGCCCCCCCCCCTCCCCAACCAGATCATCAGATTGCCAGGAGGTGAAGGGCTCCAAGTGCCCCTCAGGAGAGGCCTTGGTTGTTCCCGCTGCTTATTCTCCCTCTGGTGAGCTCCTCGGTGAGAACTTACTAGAAAAGCGATTACAAGGGTAAACTCCACAAACTTTTAGGCATCACAGCCTGAGTCAGGGCCAAGCGCGGGAAGCCCAAGCGCTCTGGAGCCAGGGAGTGCCGGTGCCTTTCTAAATGGTTGGTGGCCCGCCCTCAACCAGTAATTGGAAGTACGCAGGCGGTGGGGGGTGGGGGGACAGGGGCGCTCACCTGCAAGTGGTTCTGATGCCTGCCGAGGTTCCCGCACTTGCTGGTGAGCCCTTTCCCCCCAGGAGACAGAGCCGCAGATCCGGATACGTAGGCGGACTAACTCGCGGCTGCAAGCCTTAATTATCTTGTCATCGTTCTGGGCTGGGATCCCTCTGGGAAGCTGGCTCAGTAGTAAAAGCCAGACTTTTAGCAGGTGGGACAAGTGCAGGTGCGGCATGTTGGCCCAGATCGCTTCTGTTCTTGGCGTTGTTTCCTGTAGGACTGAAGCCCCGGTTGTCCACCAATCTCTGCCTGTGTTCCAATCCTGGACTTCAGGCTGCAGTCCTAACCACCTTTCACCAAGCTTTTATAGCCCTTGGGCGACCACTTAGACCCGAGTCAATTGCCCAAGCTCCACCCCTTTCTCCACCCACCTCCTTGGAATTCTCCCCCCCCACTCCTGTTCCCCCCCCCTTATCTCCCTGCCTTTCACCTTTAACAACTTTCCTCCCTTTACCCATCTTTCTGTTCTTGGACCCTTTACAGTTGTATATATATATTTTTTCTTTTTTTCCCTTAAACTATTTTGTATACTTAGGTAAAGTTAGTCAATATTTGAAGTTTTCCTTTTTTATAAAGTTAGGCATTGCCCTTACACTAAATTATATCAAGAAAAATAAAATTGAAATCACCCATATTATATCAAATTCAGTTTTCCATCATGAACATTTGTTGCATAATCTAATCTAAATAAGTTAATTAGTATAGTGTCTGGTATATCAACCCATAAAGATATAATGAATGAATGGATAAATTAACAAGAGAGAGAACTGATGACTTTTATATAAATCCTGGTAAAAATGTTAAAATTCTCAATGCATCACTTTAAGCTTGTACAATATCTTAAGTTACAGTGCACTTTCTCTACTGATTTTCTCTACTATCTCCCAAACTATCTGGGAGATAGTTTGATTATAACCAGTTTTTTGAAAATCTTAATTTTAGGTTGTATTGTTTCTATATCCCTCGAGTTTGGAGAGAACACACACACACACACACACACACACAGAAACAACACCCCCCCCCCCCACAAAAGACCCCACAATTTTAGAAAGGATATTTTGGTAATACAGGCTACAGCACAGACAGACATCATGTTTATTTATTTATTTATTTTTTACTATATTCTGTGTTTACTGTATTTAGTGAGCTAATTTTTAACAGCTCCTGATTTAACAGTTTGAGATAATATGGTCATTGAACAATCTTTCTAGATGGACATTAACTTTTAAGTGTAAATAAGTCCATTTTTTCAATATTTTTTTGCTTGTGTTCATAATATATGCAGATTACCTCAGTTCTACCAGGTAAATTAGAGACATGTTGGAAGTTAGGGTAGCTTTGGTTAAAGTAATAACTGAACAATCACAAGTACAACATGGGCTAGAATAATTCTGATTTCTAGAATGCTGCTAATTGCAACAGTACCCAAATACTAAGCATTGCGTAATTAAAACAACAATAATAACAAAAGAAAAGAAAAACAAAACGAAAAAAAACAACCCTGACCAAAGCAATGAGAGGGTCAGAGGTAGTGCTTTTACACAGGTTTTTGCTAAGATAAGCAGTTTGGGAGAGGCTTCTTAAAACTGAGGTTTGAAGGGGTTTTTTTGTGGGTTTATAGTCATTGCAAAAAATAATCAATTTGCAAGGCTGCCCTCCAAAGTAATCGCTTGTGTAAAATATAAGTTTCTGGGAGGCAGTAGGTGGTGTGCACTAAGACTACAGTAGGAGACTGATAATCAACCTCCTGTGACCATCTCAAATGACCTCCAGGAGAAATCAAATACAGGAAGAACCAGAAAACCAGTGAAGCAGGGACATGCAAACAAAATTTTTAAACAATCAGATATGATAGGAACATATATTGAGATGACCTAAGGGTCTTTCACATGTCTGTGTGGAAATCAGAAAACCTTAATTATTACAACCATAGCAAATTATACCTTGTGACTTGTCTTTGTGCTTGTGACTTGGAGAACTGCTTCCAGGCACGCATACCCCTTTCTTTTGCATACATAATCCCCTGTCTCTAATAAGCTTCAGGGCAATTCTGCAGAGCAGTTGGAAAGACTGTATCCTTGGCTATAGTCCTCAGTAGAACAACAGACAAAAGCATTTAGCAGCCTGCTTTAATGTTGGTTTTCTTTCAGTCAACAAGGGGATTTTTACTCTACCCCTGTAGTCTTTTTTTTTTTTTTTTTTAAGATTGATTTATTTGACAGAGAGATCACAAGTAGGCAGAGAAGCAGGCAGAGAGTGGGGGAAGCAGACTCCCTGCCGAGCAGTGAGCCGGATGCGGGGCTAGATCCCAGGACCCTGAGATCACCACCTGAGCCGGCGGCAGAGGCCCAACCCACTGAGCCACCCAGGCGGCCCTGCCTACATAGTCTTATAGACTCCTCCTAGCCGTCCTATGAAATGGCCATTTTCCCATTTTATAGAGAGAAAAAGCAAGTTGTGAGTACTCAAATACTTGTTCAGCTGTTTAGCACATGTGCCAGATGTGGGCTTACCCTACTGTTAAGAGTAACAGACAAGTGCAGGGTTCATAGGCTTTGTAGGCACAACTAAAAGGCATTTCATGTTGTTAAAACAAACAACAACAGAACCCAAAAAAACCTTTTAAAAGATTTTATTTATTTGACAGAGATCACAAGCAGGCAGAGAGGCAGGCAGAGAGGCGGTGGGAAGCAGGCTCCCGACTGAACAGAGACCCTGATGTGGGGCTCGATCCCAGGACCCTGAGATCCTGACCTGAGCCAAAGGCAGAGGCTTAACCCACTGACTCAGGCACCCCACAAAGTAACCTTTTAAAAGAGAAAAACCAAATATATGCCATATACATGTCTGGTAAATGCTGGAGCAATGATTCCTACCCATGTTTACTGGGTTCCAAAGCTCCCTTTCTTTGCTTCTACTGTATCCAGCCCCAGTTGGAATTAATCTGCATGGTGAAGGTTAATAGATACGCCTTTAAACATGCCTTTAAAACAGTCATTTTAGGTACAAAGGGATAAGTGAATCTATAGATTGATTCTCTTAGGCCGTGCGTTGTAGAAATGATTTCCCAAGTTTCTTGCTGGTAGCAGAGTCCATGTGTCACAGTTCTGGCCAGGACAACATAAGCACATATGTGGAAGTTTCTGGCAAAGCCTCTGCTTTTCTGATCCAGGCACTAAACCTTCTTCTGTTCCTTTCTTTTCCTGCCTAAAGTACACACTGAGATTCAGAGGTGCAGCAGCTATCTTGGGACCATGAGGTGAAAAGCATAAGGAGGAAGACCTGTATATCAAGCACAGCTGAGTAGAGAGGTATGAGTGTCTGCTGGTTTCATTCAGATGCTAAGCAGTATTGATGGCTTACTCCCTAGGTTTGTTTAAAGCCCCCGTTACAGGGTTTTGTTTTGTTCTGTTTTGTTTTGTTATTTACGGAGAACACAATCCTAATTGATAAATATATGCATAAGTGGATTTTTTTTATATGAGAAACAAGCTTACATTCATTCCTCATGAGAGCTTTAGTCCTAATTCAGTAGCACTTGAGTTAGATATTTTAGATTGAAGTAATCATTTGATTGCTTTTACAGGATGGTTTACCACAAATTATCTTTGTACCTCTTAAAAACTAGTTATGTAAGAAGCAGTGAATGTACTTTCTGGGACCTGGAGATGTACTTCCAGGGATTTTGTGGAAGATGTGGTCAGGGAAGACGTGGCAAGGGCAGTTTCTGTGGAATTTCTTTTTGTGTCTGGTACTTTATCTTTGCTAGCTGTAAATTTCCTGGGAACTGCCCTTGTTCTTCTGGGTTAGATCTCCATTTCACAGAACTTGGTCGCAGTGGCCGACAACCTCTGAGGTTCTACAGTGCCTTACTGAATTCCCTTGCTCCTGGTCTCCTACCCACCACCCTCCCGCCTCTACTCCATCCACTTGGAGTCAGCCTGTGGTTCTAAGAGAAACTCACTTTTTTAAAGACAGGAGACTCTGCTCTTTTTATTTCACCACTAATGTCTTTCTAGCAGCTTCACATTTTGTAGCAAATTCTCACTGTTTTCACTGATGTGTCAATAGCAACAGTCCCACTCAGTTCCCAGGATAATTAGTGTTGCTTCAAATCTATTTTTCTTTGTATATTTCTTCCATCATTTCACTGGGATCTGGAGGAGAAGAGGTAAACCCTTGTATTTTTTTTTTAAGCATAGTGATCAGAAATGGGTGCTGACTGTATATCTCATCAACATCCTTGGGACCACTCTAGATGTTTGTGCTTTCACTTCAGGTTATCATGCTGTTTTATCAAGAAGACTGAAACAAAAAATGAAGGAAAATTAGGATCTTAAGAAAGTTCTCTTATTAGCAAACCTTTGGGAAATCTCTTGGCTAAGAGATTAGAAAAGATAAATAGCTTCAATATTTTCTTATTTCTCCTCAAATAACAATAGATGTGCTAATGGAATGTTCAAAAAGAATTGTGCCACTGGATGGTACTTTTTGTGAGCAGGGATCTTAGTTTTTTTCACTTATGATACATGCTTGTCATGTAATAGGCAGTCAAATAATAGGCCTCAATTACGTTATTGCTCACCATGAATGTTGATATATTGGGTCAAAAATTAAGGCTCAACATTATATGCTGCATTGACATCTGGTGTAACAGGGAGGGACTTAAACGGCCCAACCGTAAGTTCCCCACCCTATCTGCTTGCACTATGGAGTCCGGCTCTCCTAGCCAATCAGCTCTACTCAAGAGGACCAGGCCCAGTTCTGGCTCATCCCTCAGTAGTGGGTTTCATTTTCCTGCCACTTCATGGAATCAAAGAAGCCAGTCACATTCTCCCACAGGAACCACATTCTCTCACAGGAACCTCACCCTCTTGCTTCTGCAAGGCCTTCCTTATAGAGCCCCTAGTTGTTCAGTCTGTTCTGAGAGCAGCTCCCATCTAGCCAGGCCGTGTCCTACCCTGAGCTGCGAGTGTGCGTGATTAATAAACTGCTGCCAGTCTCGTGTGTCCCGTATTGGAGTCAGATGTCGTATGTGGCCGTCCCTATCATCTTGGGCAGAATTTCCTCCCTCACCAATGGGGTGAATAGAAGGCAGTTAAAATATTTGGGTCATAGACAAGGTGGCCTATTCATGACCAAGGACACCTGGTCAGCTTTATTTAACTCCTCTTG